CTTTGATAACTATGTTCCTGCCAACGTCCAATAAAGAATGGAGGTTTTCCTCGCCCCTCCTTTTGCTATTGATGTATCTGTAGAAAGACTTTTTGTTATCCCTAACAGAAGTGAATAGATTGAGTTCAAGTTATGCCTTTGTCTCTCTAATTTTCTTTCTATATGACCTAACTATATTCCTAAACTCTTCCCAAGTAGCCAGCCCTTTTTTCCATAATTGGTAGGCTCTCTTTTTTACCGTAATTTCCTTCAAAATCTCCCTGTTCAGCCAGACTGGTCGTCTTCCCCACCAGCTTGCCTTTTGGCACACTGGGACAGCCTGCTCCTGTGCTTTCAAGACTTCCTTCTTGAAGCATGTCCATCCCTCCTGGATCCCTTTGTTTTCAAGGGTTGTTTCCCAGGGTACACTTTGAACTGAAAAGAATTGCAAGGTCAAGCTGGAAAGCCGCTTGAAGTATGATTATTCTTTGTGGCTGAAGGCAGCCACAGGAGCGTCTGTGTGGAATGTGTGCAGATAAGTAAAATCTGGCCTGGCTTGATAGCTCAGACCATTATTCTGTAAATAAATGCAGTAATAAAGTTACAAGAGAGTTCTGCCTGGACAAAGTCTGTCTCCCGTGGATTAATTCACCAGAAAGGGTGCTGAGTGAGGGACTTTTGCCGCAAACACCTAAACAAATTCAACACCCACAAGTCCACAGGCCTTGACGGGATGCATCCACAAATGCCAAGAGCGCTGATGGACATCATAGCCAGGCCACTCATGATCATCTTTGAAAGGTCATGGAGATCAGGAGAGGTGCCTGAGAACTGGAAGAAAGCAGATGTCACCCTGGTCTTCAAAACAGCAAGGAGGAAGATCCAGGGAACTAGCAGCCAGTCAGCCTCACCTCAATCCCTGGAAAGGTGATGGAGCACCCTATTCTGGAGGCCATCCCTGCCCACATGAAAGACAAGGTGATACGGAGTAGTCAACAAGAGCTCACTAAAGGTAGGTCATGTTTCACCAACGTGATGGCCTTTTACAATGAAACAACTACCTGGATGGATGAGGGGAGAGCAGTGGATATTGTCTACCTTGACATCAGCAAGGCTTTTGACACTGTCTCACAACATCCTCATAGGCAAAGTCAAGAAGTGTGGGTTGGATGAGTGGACAGTGGGGTGAATTGTGAACTGGGTAAGCGGCAGATCTCAGAGGGTCATAACTGGTGGCACAGGATCTAGTTAGAGGCCTGTCACTAGTGGTGTCCCCCAAGGTTCAATACTGGGACCAATTTTGTTTGACTTATTCATCAGTGACTTGCCTGAGGGCATGGAGTGCCTACTCAGTGAGTTTGCTGATGGTACAAAACAGGGAGAAGTGGCCAATACCCCAGAGTGCTGTGCAGCCCTTTGGCGGGACCTTGACAGGTTGGAGAGATGGGCAGAGAATCTTCTGAAATTCTACAAAGGCAAGTGCAGGCTCCTGCATCTGGGGAAGAAGAACCACAGGCACCAGTACAGGCTGGGGTCTGACCTCCTGGAAATCAGCTCTGTAGAGAAGGACCTGGGGATCCGGTAGACAAGCTGTCCATGATCCAGCAGTGTGCACTTGTGGCCAAGGTCAACAGAATCCTGGGGTGCATTAGGAATAGCATTGCCAGTAGGTTGAGGGAGGTGATCCTGCCCCTCTGCTAAGCGCTGGTGAGGCCATATCTGGAGTGCTGTGTCCAGTTCTGGGATCCTTGGTACAAAAAGGACATGGAGCCCCTGGAGCAGGTCCAGCACAGGGCTACAAGGATGGTCAGTGGACTGGAGCATCTCTCTTACAAGGAAAGGCTG